CGCTCACTGTATAGTTCAGGCAGGACTTGAATTCATGATCCTCTTGCCTCAGCAAGAGACCTGAGACCTGAGACCCTTATAAATGAGGCCCAAGGACTCATGGTACCTTGGAATTTGTGAGGAAACAGGAAGAAGTAAGTCTATAAAAAACCAACTCTCCCACTGGGTGTGGTGGTGCACACCTTTAATCCCAGCACTCAGAAGGCAGAAGCAGGGTGGATCTCTATGAGATGGAGGCCAGCCTGGTCTACATAGTAAATTCCAGGCCAGCTGGGACTACAGGGAGACCCTGTCTCAAAAAGACCACCCCCCCAAAAAAGAATCAGCTCTTGGGGCTGGAGAGATGGCTCAGTGGTTAAGAGCACTGGCTGCTCTTGAAGAGGACCCACCCAGGTTTGGTTTCCAGCACCCACATGGTGGCTAACAACCGGTCTGACATCCTCTTCTGGCCTCCATGGGCATTGTATGCATGTGGTATACTTACATACATGTAGGCAAAATACTCATATACATAAAAATAAAAGTAAATATAAAAGAACTGATTCTCCCCAGACATAACATCTCTCAGTGCCTATATCCTAGACCTCCCACCCTCCAGATGGTGAGAAATAAAATTCTATTTTTCTGAAGGTGTTTGTAATGGTCAGTTTTAATTGTCAACTCAACCCAACCTAGAACCACCTAGGAAGAGAGTCTCAATGAGACTGTCTAGATTGAGGCGGCCTGTGGGCATGTCTCTGGAGGGTTGTCTTGTTTGCCATAATTGATGTGGGAAGACTCAGCTCACCTTGGGTAGCACCCTTCCTTGATTTGGGGCCTGAGACTGTACAAGAGTAGGGAACTGTGGGCACTAGGCATGCATGCATCTATTTCTCTTGGCTCTTGACTATGGATGGGATGTGACCAGCTGTTTTAAGTTCCTATTACTGTGTGGTGATAGACTGTAAACTAGGACTGTAGCTAAAATAAACCCTTTCTCCCCTAAGTTGCTTTTTGTCAGGATATTTTGTCACAGCATCAGAAACGAAACTAGGACACCGTCTGTGGCATTTTTGTTACAGCAGCGTGAATGGACTGATACAGTGCCACGTGCAGGCAGCAAGGCTACATGAAGGCACACATCAAGCGGTTCCAGGAAGAGCACTTTGAATATTCCCATGAACCACCATTCCCCAGCCAGTGTTAAGATGTTAAACAGACAGGGGTTGCTCACAAAATAGACTGAGTGCTCTGGCAGAGACCAAGTGTGTGGGACCTGGAGTGAGTCACATGGTGCCTGGAGTCACATGTCCTGCTGGTGGTATGGGGCTATCAGGACACCCTGAGTCTGTGTTTTCCATTTTTTTTTCTTTGAAAAAAAATTTTTTTATTATTTTTATTTCATGTGTATGAGTGTATAGCCTGCATGTATGTAAGTGCACCCATGTCATACAATGCCCAAGGAGGTCAAAAGAGGGTGTTAGATCCCCTGGAACTGGAATTACAGACAGTTGTTAGTCACCATGTGGATACTGGGAACTGAATCTGAGTCCTCTGCAAGAGCAGTTAGTACCTTTTAACCTCTGAATCATCTCTCCAGCCCCCTATCCTTCCTTCCTTTCTTTGGTTTTTCGAAAGAGGGTCTCCCTATAGCCCTAACTGGCCTGGAACTTAGGTAGACGAGGCCTCAAACTCACAGAGATCCACCTGCCTGCTGGGATTAAAGGCACGGTGCCACCATTCCCAGCCCATCTTTTCCTTTCCATATGGCCCTCGGCCAGGACAGCCACCTGGTGAGGGAGGGGGCTAGAACTCCCACTTCAAATGGAGACACCCCCCCAGGGGCCCTGTGCTGTCCTTTCCACCCCACTGGCGACCCTGTCTTCTTGAGGATGCACAGGAGGCCCCAGCAGGGCTTGATGCAAAGAGTGCTCAATTTCCCGGGCTAAAATTACATCTGAGAGTCAATTTTCATAAAATGTGGTGACAGATTTAGGTATTCAGAAGACAGGACTTTCTCAGAGGGCCTAAAAATGACCCAAATGGTTAAAATCAGCTGAAAGCGGGCAGGCAGGGGCTATGAGAGAGAGCAGTTTCCTAATCCCCAGGATGGGTGGCTGGTGGCCAGACTGGAGAGCTACAGCCCTGCCCTTGACTCCTGTGGTCCCAAGAGGCTCAGCTCATAGCCAAGATTCTGGTAAGGAGAGTTTGCTCCCTTGGGGCAATGAACCCTTGTGTGCAGTGGTAAAGCTTGCTCCTGCTCACTGGAAAGAGACCCCCTCTCTCCCAGGGCAGTGATGGAGATGGAGCTGGATATTTCCCACTGTGGGTCATGTAGTGAGTCAGGAAAGGAAGGCTCTCCCACCCCAATGTCTAAGCACATCTTCCCTTCTCTAGAAAAAGAAGGAAGCCTGGGCCCCAGGGTGGCCCCTGTGGCTGGCCTCCCGTTTTTACCCTAAGAGTTGGTTGCTGGTGCTGAGCCTC